AATGGTCAATCAATTGATTGCAATTCAATATGCAAGAAGGTCATAGAAAAAAGACATAAAGGCAAATACGGAAGAAATGGAAGTTAAATACCAGGGAACGGGCACTCCGTGTAGTCTTTAACACTCCGCTTTACAAGTGGTTATGTGGGAGCTGTCCTTTTGATTAAGCGCCGCCACTGCCACTTTTCAAAAAATTATTGCATAAGTGCACCTGTACTATTTAAGGAGAGTTTTCCAAAGTATAACTGGCGCTTAACTCTAAGTAAGTCTTACAGAGTGCTCTTAATTAAAAAGGGAGATGAATTATTTAGACCAAAAGGTAAGGACAAAAGGCACCTGCATTACGAAGGCAAAGATAGATCTGGACATACATCCTCATAAAATACCATCAGCTGTTCCGAGGCGGCATAGTATAAAATGGATGTCAGCCCATCCGAGTGTATTTATGACATTTATTAAAGCTCCTCACACAGCCCTGCATTATGTAATTGCATGCATCGATCAGTATAAACATAAAGGTGCATGCCACAGATTGGAAAAAATTCAGTAGTTATAAAGCATTCCATTTTTTTTTTTTAAATAATTTAATAAAATATTTGTCATTTCTATATCACATGTGCCCACTGTACTAAAGAAACGTCACTTCGTAAAATCAATACAAATCGTGCAAATAACAAACTCATACTTGTGGTTTTCAATAAATTTTTTTGAATAAATGTTGCCTTTTTATATTTTTCATGAGCTGATCGCTGATAAGCAAAGTTAAATGTGCTAGGGCCACCAAACAATAATATATCAATTAAAAATTATGAACAAATATTTTATTATTGTGATATTAAAACAACTATTTTCACAAAAAAAATCAGAAAGGTGCAGTAAGAAAAAATTTGTTTCTTCGGCTTGTTATTGTTTGGCCTTTAGTAGGTACATTCTAGGTTTTGTAATAATCTGCGAGAACTTTTGGCTTATTTTGCCCTGATAACGCTTTTCTACTAAGGAAATGTCCTGATGGAACTTGTCATCTTAGAGTCAAGCCAAGTGCAGGGTACGATGAAGCGGAATACAGCTCCGGCAACCAGCTCTTCTCGTACCAAGAGCGCCAGTGCGCGATGAAAAATCGCATCCTTACAGAGGTGGTTCTGTTACGCCAACGGATCTAGACCTGGAGGGTGTCGTACATACCCTTCCGCGTTAATCCAGAGCGTCACCCGAAAGGAAGGATATAGACACTAGTATTGTAACCCTCTCCGAGGCAGAGGAGGTCTAGTCCATTAGCCCCTCAACTTCTCAGGATGGTGCAGATAAATCAAATTAGTTAGATTTTGCTCCTCTGCGAGAAGGCGAAGGATTTAGTTCTAGCTCATGAACCTTAAATAGTAGGCAACAGGATCTTCGGACTGACCTCTGAAACTCACCAAACGGTATATGTTTTGGAAAGTTATAGGCCTAGGGCTTGCATTCTGGTTAATAAAATATTCCTTATTTTCTTCTCTCTCAATGGAGCAACGCAGACACAGTCAGAATCGAGATAAAACTGGGGAAGAAGCGCATGACAATTCTCTCAGCGATATAAACATCTGTGATGAGTCCCTACTTGATTTGGTATTAGGAAATGATCTTGCAATATGCAACTGTAGGATAAACCCCGCTTTAGTAACTTCTTCCTTCATTACTTTTAAACCCACTTTCTGACGAGATCAGAAACTGACATGTAGTCAATAAACCCTCTTTCTGGGACCACGTATATATATCTTTCCATCTTACCTTAACACCTACGATCGCTGTGTACAAGAATAGAGGAAGGACTGACTGGACAATCTTTAGGATAGTCCTGACAGCATTCTTGGCACAAGACGCTTCTCGCGATAAGATACGCGTATTGCATAGAACTGATGAAGCGGTGGCATCTAGCACAGGGTCTGTTTCTCTCTGTGATCTTCACAAAGCAATAAACTTTGTAACCAAAATCTGTAACGCCGCTTTTGAGGCCTCCTGCGCTCCATTTATTCAATCTGGAAAGGAAATACCCAAACGGTGCACCAACGAAATGTCCCTGTCTGAGGCCCGTTAAGAAAAACTAGCAGAAAACGCTTTAATGAAGCCAAAAAAAGGAATTCTGGCAATTTTATACAACTTGCCTGAAATCTCCATAGGGAGGGCAAAACGAGAGTCTTGGAAGGTCTTCTGCAATGACAGACATATTAAAGTGCTCTCCAAGAGCTGCGAAAACCCAGAATTACACCCAGAAACCAAATGATGAATGGGAGCACTTCACTAATATCAGAAGCCTATTAAATCTCTAAGATTATACGGTATTTTTCCCGCTGAGTTACAGAAGGCTGAGGTCACAAGGCCTGTCTGCTTGAAGGATACATCCCTCAAGCGTGGACAAGGTCCAAAGTAATTTTTATCCCAAAAGGAAGAGCCAAACACGTCAATCCAAAGGATATTTGACCCATTATTCTTATCTGGCACCGCGGTAGCCGAGTCGTTAGCATTGCGTACTGCCATTCGGAAGACTCGGGGTCAAATCCTGGTGCCGTCCATACATCCAAAAAAGTTATAGTAAAAATATAATAATAATTGCAGTCACCCCTCGGCAGGGATGTCGGCCAATCCGAGTGTATTTATGACATGTAATAAAGCTCCTTATACAGCCCTGCATGATGTAATTGGATGCATCGATCAGGACTTCGCAGAGATGAGCAACACCGGTGTCACCAGTCACACAACAAGAGGCACTCCTCAACGTGGAGCTTTATCGCCACCTCTGTGGGGCTTAGCAGCGAACACGCTGATTAAGAAACTGCGCAAAACAGGTTGCGGCGTTGTGGCATACGTTGACGACTTTGTCCTAAAAGCGATAGGCACACACCTATAAACATTAAGGAATTTACTCCAAATTACTGTTTGTATAGGTGAGAGATGGTGCAGCGATAGCGGGCTGGGCGTGAACCCTCATAAAACCAAGATGGTGATATTTCTAGGAGGTACAAACCGCATAACTTGAGTTGAGTTGATGCGGCTGCTTTTGCCAGCACACTTGGGCCAATCGGCTCATTGTGATAGTCCGCATGACGTGAAACTACTCAAACTAAATGGTGTGGAGATTTTCCTTTTTCCCAAAGTCAAATATCTTTGGATAATCTCAGATAGACAATCTAGAAAGATCAAGGAAAGCTATAACTGCACTCTACGTCTGCGAAATGGCGATAGCACATCGGAAGTCCTATTCTACGTGGTTTTCGTCTGGTCGCCAGCACCCGATAAAATCACCTTCAGGAGCAAATTAGGGAAAGTTCAACGATCGGTGTCCATCCTCATAACGGGAGCTTTGCCATCAACTCCCTCGAAAGCAATGCTAACTCTTCTCCTTCCTCTGAACCTAAACGAGAAACCACAAGCGGGTTCCGACGCAATAAGATTGAATGTAACTGTACCTTGAAAGATATGCAGTATGGGAAATACAAAAATATTATCTCTTACAGAAGTGCCGAAGGAGTTGGACTACAGCACCTCTAGTGTATACTTCGATAATCTTTTCTCCACAAGAATCCCAAAAAGATACTAGTGGAAAAGCCCCCGACCAGGGAGCAATAAAATTAGCATGAGAGTTGGGGATTACTGCAGCATTTTCCAGGCCGAAGTCTTCGCAATCGTGGATGCCGCATCCGTCAACGAAGTACAGTACAGGCAATTGCATGGCAGACCAGTTAGCAAGGGAAGGAACTCTTCTATACACGATAAAATACGCACACGATGCTGGCTTACCTATGCCCACGGCTAAGTACATGCTTATTCTGGCCTTCACTAGGGAAGCTAACTCACGATGGTTGAACGAGATCACATGCAACTTGACAAGATAGCAATAGTCGAAGTTGGACGCAAAAAAATCAACATTTTATTCTTCTGGACCGGTTCTCCATCGACATAACGACTGGTATAATAACTGGTCATTATTTATTGGGGATTCACGGGAATAGGATGGGATATTACTCTACCGATTTCTGACGCAGATATAGGGACTAAGAAGAGGAAGAGACCATCGAGCACTACCTCCGCCACTGTTCAAACTTGACACCCGCGCAACACAAGTTCCTTGGGAAACACTTCTTCGACTGTCTCGCTGAGTTTATTTTCTTATTAACTGTTCAGAGTAAAGCAGAGCTTAGTAGGACGAAATTCCTGCAGAACGCCGATTTACCTCCCGCTATTGCTATTATTTATGATCAAAAACTAACTAATACTACTAGATCGTTACGCGATGTAACGAATGCGACACAGGACACACCCCAAACTAAAAAAAATCCCAACAGCGACTACTTACGTACCTATTTAACAACAAAGTTGCAACCCCAGCAGATTAACATCATCCTTTTTGAAGAATACAACGCTACAATAGTTTAATTTGTTCTAACGTTATACAAAAATAATTTGTATTCAGCGTATATTGCTAAATATTTCGTGCACATAAAACTGTATTTTTCTATGAGTTATTTGTTATACTTATAACTTTAACTTTCCAAGAATTAATGTGCAGACTTATCTGTAGTTTGCGGTTTTTCATTTTTCTTAATTTTGTCAGTCTGTCGTTAAGACTGTTCGTAAATAAATCATCATACTAAAATAACCTTTTTCTTTTTGTTGCCTTCACGGCATTCATCGACACTGCCTTCGACAAATTATAAAAATTTAACAATTATCTTAGTTTCTTCAACTAACGAATGTATGCAAATAAAAATACATGTTTTGAAAACTAAAAATAATTGTACAGATATCTTAACAACAATACAAATACATTAAATACAAAATTAAAATCAATTTAAATTCTTATGGAACATAAATTTTAATAGAAACATTTCGTAACATGAAATGTTTATAGAATTCTCAAAATCGTCAATGTCAATCTATACGAATTAATTATGAATATATTTTTAAAAATAAACATTGACAAACCCAGGGTGACCAAAATAATAAGTCGCTTTCTTTCCAGCTACAACAAAATTTTATTAGTTTAAAATGGTTTCTTTCTTCGACTTTTTTCGTAAAGATCGCAGACGTGGAACACCCTCCACTGGTTTCGGTCCGGTGAGGCGGAATTCCTTTTCCGAATATACTCTACTGCTGTCGCAAAAGTTGCGAAGGTGGAACTCTCTCCACTACCTTTCTTTCAACTAAAGGAAAACCCCGTTAAATATAAACTAAGTACTCGTGAAGAGGAAACCCTCAGGCTCTTGGAGTCGCTTACGCGTACCGTGACAGCATATTTCCATAAAGGTGAGATTTTATTTTGTTAGCCAAATGGATGAAAAACTTGAAACTAATTTTTGAAAATCCCCAGGATTACTTGCATTTTTAAAAGCATTATTGGATTACCGAAAGAAAAATTAACCTAAATCTGTTGAAAGTCGTGTACCAGTGTCAAGTCACGGAGGTGCTCCGTCACATGGCGGCTAACCTCAAACATCGAAATAAGAGCCCTAAAGTGTAGCGAATATGTTGCAGTCAAAGCAGAATTTCATTGAAATTCTGACTGACAATAACTAAAATAGACAAAATATTATTCATACTATTTCATGGCGTTGGATGGATTTAAACGTAAATGACTCAGTCTGAAATTAGTCAGAAAGGCAACACCAATGCACAGGGAAGGAAGCATATTAATGCATAACTGATTTGACCTCATTTAATTTTCTTTTTACGCCGCCACTGGTAGTGCGTAAATTTCTAACGGAAGTGTTTGTAACCTTGAACTTGAAATTTGTAGTTCTTTGGAGAGTATGTAAATTTATATGTAAGCATATTAATATTTAGAGCTTGGAATTAACTCGCTCATTTTAACTCACCACACCGTAGCACATTCAACACGTGCCTGCTGATCCAGCTCGGAGTATCAAAAATATGTAAGTGTTGTAAATTTTGCCTATATATATATTTACTCTTGCTCTCATCTTTTTGTATTATTGTTATACTTACCCATATATATATATCTTATTTAAACTATAAACATGTAAATTTAAGATTTATTTCTATGAATGAAGTAGGGCGGGCCTAAAATTTTAGTTTACGGGGGAAAAACGAATTTAGAAATATAAAAGAATTAGTATGTACATCAACATTATTTTAACTAATAAATGAATTGTAGTCATTGAAATGAAGTTCTAAAATTTTTGGTGTTGTGAGAATGATTTAGGCCTTCGTTTGGAAATGGTTGGGATCGGAGATGATGTGTAAGGAAGTCTCTCGTATGGTTGGGTAGGGGAGAGAAGAGAAGCGGATTTATGGCTTCTACAGTTCGTTCGTAAGCATTTCCGCTTTTCATTATATCCGTTCGTCCGTTTTATTTCTTTTTTGGGGTTTCCGGGTAAGAAATTTTAGTTCAGTTTTTGTTCTGTCCGATTATTATATGTTCATGAAATATTTTTTTTGTAATGATGATCCGCGTACACTAACGGCAAGCAAGAACCACCCCAATCCGGCGAGCTAAGACCAGGTCACAACTAGCATGCACGCTTGGCCATATACGAGGCTCTCGACAGAGGGATAGTAGATCATTAATTTCATTATAAAATGGCGCCCAACGTGGGGCCCTCCTTAAAGCAGTCTATGTACTTAGGGTTCTCCACTAATTTAATAGGAAGATTTCAGTTTCTTGGATTCGGAATGTAGTATCAAATAAGGCTATTAGAGCTATTTGGCTAACCAACCATCGAAATTGTTCGAGTTGCGGAATAAGTTCAATATAACGTTTATACGTAAACTTACCCTTCTCTACTTTCTATCAGATACATAACTTTTTATATTACATTTTTTTTATTTATCATGTTTTGCGTTTAGATTTGGAATTATGAGAAGTAGTTTTATCGATTTCATAACCAGTCACAGCGGCAAAATAATCATCATAGGGGATAATGAATTGGTAATGTGGAATTATCATTTTCTTTCGAAATTAGGTACCCATTACGCAGAGTTTATTTTTAGGCAAAATTACTAATAATTTTGATTTTCTTTACAATGGAAGTGCCGCGTCGAACTGGCCCTCTTTCAAGCGAAGGCTAAGCATATGGTATTACATGGGGACACCTACGCAGTTTTGCGAAATATTGACATGATCACCGAAGGCGTAACAGAAGAAAGTCTAGCGCGTTCCGACAAACTTTTAAGTATACGCGATAATATTCGTGGATTTTTGGAGAAGGCCCATTATCGCAATGAACATCGTTATAACCTGCGAACTCGAGAAATAAAATATAAGGTTGGTCAAGAGGTCTTACGCAGAAACTTTGCTCATAGTAACATGGCAAAACATTTTAATGCAAAGCTGGCAAAAACTTTCCTTAAAGCCAGAGTGCGAGAGATATTAGGTTCATCTTATTATTCATTAGAAGATTTGGAAGGTAAAGGTATAGGCACAAATCATGCAAAAGACATGCAACCCTGCTAAACATGTCGCCTTTTTCAGATTTCCTTTAAATGTAATCCTGTACAATTTAAAGAAAACCTGCTTTGTGAGCGCGATTAATAAATATAACTATTTTTTTTCTTGTCTTGAATTATGTCAAAGTATTAAGTATTATAAAAAAAAAAACATTAAAAAAAAAAATTTTTTTTTGCTTTAAAAACAAATAATAGAAGTTAAGCCCTAATAAATTAAATAAGTCTTTTTCCAGATCTACTACTTGCCGGTAGTAGATTCGCTTTTGCCTGCAAGCCCGCGCTTGTCAAGTTAGCAAACATCTGTTTACAACCACACTTACCATTTCCGCAAGATTTTAATGTTCTTTTCTTCTGAGCATCTCAAAGAGACAAGGCGTATATCAGATTCG